GAGAGAGAGAGAGATATTTAAATTGAGCTTTGATACTTGTGCAGTACATATTTCTTCAAGATTAATACTATTTTTTGGGATGTATGGAAAGATGCCTTCCACACACTTTGTGAAGGTGTAAAGCTCACATCCTATTTAGCATGTTCGTAGGATGGTCCGATTGTAAGAGCCATTATAATTTGTTAACGACTTGAGTTAAATGTCCTTGGTTCAAGTAAAATAACTCCATGTAAAGGACAAGATTTCTTTACAGTCTGGTCAATTTTGAATACTACTGTTGTATAACAAAATGTGCGGGACACCAAGGCAGTCCTACTTTGAGAAGAGAACAAAAAAAAGGCAGTCCTACATATTACTCTTGGACATACAATAATTCAAACTACAAGACATCCATTATCATGGATGCATAGTTTTTGCATAGAGAATACTCAACAGAGCCTGAAGGTAAAAAGAAAAGTACTTCAGTTTTGTCCAACTACACTAATACATAGTGTTACTAAATATTCTTGATTTTGACAAGATTCATGATGCAACATGACTAGATTGCGTTCATATCGTCTCTTCCATTTATCATGGTTACTCTTCTCATCCTTGTTTTAAAGGTCTCTATGTGTCTGCACTCTATATCTTGATGTATACTTAATTTGGCTTTAAGGTTTTGTCAGTTTATGCGAGCACATGCGTGTGTCTCTTTTGAAATAACACAGGTTACAGAACACAATATTCTTGTTGAGGACATCTAATCTAAATTAAGCATGGACATTATATCCCCAAAACTTGTGAGGATCTATGAAGCCATCTACTGTCTCAAGGAACATGAATCTCGCTAATGTACATCCTTATTCTGAAGAAATATATCAGATTGAAAAAAGAAAAGTCAAATGGCATAATTAAAATATAAAAGAAGAAGAAGAAGAATGAATCTAAAGATTTACCATTTATCAAGTCATAAGAAAAGTATACAATAGCACCAGGGATAAACCCCGCAGAGTGGAAATCCTTCGAGAGATCATTGATTTTCTGTTTCGGAGGAGTGGTGTCTGAAATATAGAGTGAAAAAAACACAAGAAATCATGCAGAGGCATAATAAATTCGAAATTGATAACCTAACTACCTATACACAAATGCCATCTGCTGAAGATAAGATTCATAAGTGCATATTGATGAATACTATCCAAACAGATATGCACCAACCCACTAGGTTTCTTGGAAAATATATGATTTACAAACATTACCATACAAGTAAAACAGGGAAAAGAAGCTCCCAAAGTTAGCCCATTTTAAATCCATGTAAACCAACTCATCTGTGCTGATGTTATATGGCCTACTGTGGTGCTAGTTTCAATTATCTTCTAATTAAATAATACTTGATCAACGTAGTACAAAAAAAATAAAAAGAAAAAACATAAGTAGCCCATGGCAATAGAAAGGCCTAATAACTCATATACTCCAAGCGGTGCGCCAGGGTTTGACTCTCTCGAAATAAGGGAGGTTTTGGAAATAAGCAAATTACACAATAAACTCTGTAGAAGATACCTTCCAATTTCAAAAGAGTATACAAAATCTCTTTCATTTATTTGATGATATTTTGTGAGTCACCTTTAGTGACACTTATTACTTAAATTCTTTGGTCAAAAATAGAATCCCTTTCAAAGACTCATATGTTTCAGCCCGAGTTTTATCTTCAAAGCCTACCACATATCACTTTGATAATGATTTCTGTTATTCTTTAAAGTCCCTACATATCTAATGTCAGCAAAACTCCTCCTACTTCACAACTTTACTCTATTCAAACATTGCCACACTCATTGAGCTTCCAATTTGAAAACCTGGCTACTCGTCTGACCAAGTAATTTTGTTTTTGTTATCCAAGGCACTGTTAAATGGTTGCTGGACAAATCTTATGATATGCAGAGGAGTCAGTACATGCATTCACTTATGTAATTGCAAAACTGTCACTGGAATGATCAAGAAGAAACAACTAATTGATTCTTTTCAAGCGCCTAATGATCTGATTATACATGACAAAGAAAACACACAATATTCCATACCATTTCACACCACAGTTGCGAAGTAATACTAAGACAACCAAACGTCCAAGCCATTCAGATAGCCAAAAAGGAAAAAGATTTTGAAACCTGTAGAACTTAATGATTTGAAAAAAAAAAAAAAAGCAGGTTACTACAAGAATGAGAAACACTTACATATGTAAAATGGCAGATCTGGACGAGCAATTACTTTCTTGAGAAGGTCCGTTAAACTTGAAATGATATCAGATGAATGAAATTCTGCTTCCAATATGTAGTTATCAGGAAAGTGGACCCTCATAATTGCCTGAACAAGTTAAAATCGAAGTTAAACTACGAAACCATTTTACAAACACCACAAGGTTATGGCCATTCCAAAAAGAAGTATGAATTTTGATAATTTATTGGACTGGTTAGACATTTCAGATGAACTGCATGAAAGACAAGAGAGAGAAACCACAGTCAGCTCAAAATAAACAATCATCAGAAAAGACTAGATCTCACTCACCAAGAATATGAATAAAGAACGCAGAATAGATCAAAACATACAAGCAAACATATTTTTTAGTAGATGAACCCCAAGTTCAACATCAGCTGTCAAGGTTTCACAATAATATTGATGCATCAGTAAAAAAGGAAAAGACATACTTGTTTGTGATAAATGCAAGGTGGCATATCCATTGTTCACATATTTACATGTAACTAACAGCCTTTCAAAGAATGCCATACAAATTTCATATGCCAAATTGCCAATAAGTAAGATGGCAAACCTAGATGACACTCTTTGTGAGCAATCACAACTATATGTAAATGGCTACTGAAATGTTTCTCAGAAAAAAAGTATTATTTTTTAATGTACCTTTGATATTTTTGACCTGCGGCTAGCCTCTTCGGCTTCACGAATTTTGCGGGTCTTCAACTGTTTGTCTGTTCAGTTCAATCATCAACGTCAATAAGAAAACACAGTAAAAGACAAACAAAAGCTGCATATTTAGACGGTTGCATGCAAATGTCATCAACAAATGAATCTAAATCTACTCCATGCTAATACGTTCGAGAGCCCAAAACCACATAATGAAGCACCTATCATCAAATTATTACCTTTCTTAGTTGACAATAGTCGGTAGTAATCCTCAGCCGTAAATTCATAGAATTCATCCTGCTCCTCTGTCAAAAAGATGGAAAATGTGCATAAGGAATGAATACATGGCTATTCGGACAAAGGTTCATAAGGACTAGAACAGCAACACAACCTAGATAAGTGGATGCTCTGATCAAATTGATCATACAAGCCCATCAAACTGATCAATCCAATCAACAAAAATAGCCCAAAGAATTAAAAGAAGTGAAAGGCTTTCAACAAGTCTGGCCAACTAGTTCAAACCAGTTTTTGGCAATTTCCCAGTTCGAGAGCCGAATTAAAATAGAGCCAGCGTCGCATTGACTGATGCCAACTAAAATGCTGAACCCCAACATGGTTAAAGAGTTCAGGACCACCAAAAATCCAAACATATGTAGCACAGAAGAAATAATCACTAATGAATAACAAGGGAGATATTCAGAAAAATAAGTTTCATAACTACTATTAGTTAGTATAATAGCTTAAAACTACAAAAATAAAATGAAGCAAGAAAAGGTCAATTAAAGTCAAGAAAGAGGTGAAGAATTGAATGTCTTGGATATCGCTGTATCACTTACCACTATTTGATACAGAAGTCAGGTTCCCATCAGATGGTATAGAAGCCGAGTTAGTGAATATATGAATTCCTCTGCCCAGTTCTTTTGCCACTTCTGCAAGTCTGGCCTGAAATTGTACACATAATAGTGATAATATATACATTATTAGATATGCAAAAAGGTAAGTGCATTTGCAAAAGTGAAAGCAACACAATTGACCAGTTCATCATGCACACAATTGCACAAAAATCAGCATACACATGAACATTATAAAAAACCACACCCCAATGCAAAGTTCAACGACAAGTAGCATTCTTGCAACATGAACAGGCACAAACCATCTCAAGAAAATGGAGAAAGAATGGAAGATCATACTGTTACATATACATATACATGGGCTTCAAATTTCATCTGTCCACCGTCAATCATGATGCAGCACAAAATTATTCATCAAACATACAAAAAGCTTATCAAATAAACCAATTCTTGGTATTATACTCTCACCATTATGTTGATTAATATTATCACAAGCCATATAATCCTTATTCAAGATGACTAATTTCGAAGGCATTGGGGAAGTCCAATATACGAGATAGGCAACCCAGTCCACAAGAAACCATAAATTGTCTGAATTATCATAACCACAGCACAGAAAAATATATGATATTTTTAAATTCTTTTTGACATGAATACCTATAAACGTTCCATAATGAGCACTCTAATCCTTTCATTTCCATTAAAGAAAGCTACAAAATTCCCATAAATCATCACTTCCAAGATTCATCCTTACAGGGGTTGATCAGATATGTTTACGAAATCACAAATTTTAATCCGCAATTAACATTATTGAAAGAGAGATATTCACCAATAAACTAACAATCACCAAGAACAAAGTTGCAGCTATACAAACTCTGATACATCTTACAATGAAACAAATTCATAAAGTTCTTTCAATATGTAAAAAAACCATTAGTGAGTAGGAGTAAAACAAAGATTTCAATTGAAAAGTATCACGGGCCCTAAATATGGATACGATGCAACCATGACATACTGAACAATTTCATGAAAAAGCAATAAAAAAAAACTCAGTAATTTTCTCAGAAAATAAGCTAGAAGTTTCTCTGAAGCCCTAAAATCGCCATGAACAATAAAAATGAAGCAAAATTTTCTGAAAATAGGTAAAAAATGGAACCTCAGCATTGGGATCCATTGGTGTGTAGATTACAAGTCTCCTTTTTGGGAAGCAACTCATCTATACAATTCCTTCCCTCCCCTTTCATTTTCTTACTTGAAACTCATGTGAAGCCCTCTACTTTAAGTTAATAAGTGGGTTTTTTGTACATCCGCGGACGGAATATGTTCTGATGCACTCCCACTTTTATAGAGGATCTTGTTTCAATAAGCCCTAGGCCTTGTGAAAAAAAAGCAAAGCCTCATCTTAAAACGTCATATGTTAGGAAAATCCCTATGATGACTTTCAAATCTATTTCCAACATGGATTATAAATTTTGTAGCTCAAAGAACGAATCTTGTGGATTTATGAACATTTTAAATGAACCGTTTAGATAGTGTGTTATAATTTACATTATTTTTAAGGCTTACAATCTTTTTTAAAGCCAAGGTCGAGATGATCAATTTGAAGTTTTTCAACACTAGAACTAAGTTTCTCTAGGAGATGAGGCTTTACTTCTTTTTTCTTCATAGGGTCTAGGCCTTATTTTGACCTTTACCTTATGTAGATGGATTTCAATTTATTATTTTCACCTAGAAGTAGATTTTGGATCTAAAATTTTATGCTCAATAGTCTTGATCACGCCACTAGGGCAATGAATCTTAGAAGAAAAAAGGATTTTTGGCATTAAAAATGGACTATCGAATATTTATGGACTATTTTATACTTTGTTCGTAGGACGTTCATTTTTAATTCGTCATAGGTCATCACGAGATTTGCACCAATTTGAATGGTGGAAGAATTTTAGATCCAAAATGGGGAAGCATCTAAAGCGACATACCATGTGTTTTAGATCCTAGTCATTTCTAATGTTTTACATATTATCTGGACTGTCAATTTTCAAGATTTTCACGTGTTTATAGATCTAATTGATTTGAACCATTTTTAGAATTTAAAATTTTATAATTAAAAATGAAAATAGATTTTCAAGCTATCTTAAGAATTTTTTACATCAAAATTACATTTATGCTAAAATTTAGAGGTATGAGGTGTCTTAATTGGATTGTTTAAGGTAGCAACATTATACAAACCACACCTAAAAGACTCAGTGTATAATGGAAGAAGAAAAGAGAGAACTTAGCAAGAAGCAAGGCCCAGCAGAGAGAAAGGGCATAATGCACAATATTCCTTCTTCTTCTTCTTCTTCTTTTTCCTATGTGTATAATTGACTATATAAATCTTTCTGTTGTAAATATGAACATGTATTAGTCCGCTATCTGATATTTTGGCATGCATATAACAGGTATTGGTCTCCTAGCTAAGGACCTGATTTGTGCCACAAGGCAATATGACCTTCAATGTAGGACTTCCCAACAAGAAATGAGGGAAATTCGAAATCAGATGAATAAAGAAGGCAAGAATCAAACTGAAGATAGAGCATAAGAGCACAGAGCACATAACCCTTGAACACCAGGGAGAAGAGATGAGCATAACCAGAAGCTTTCAAGGGATGCTAAAAGATTGGATGCCACAGATTTCGTACAGAAAACGTCGAAGAGAAGAAGAAAAGACTTGCGAAATGCGAGATATACAGCCATTGATGTCTATCTTCTTCATCTTTTTTCTTCACGCATTCACTGTGTAATACTAGGCAATCAATTGAGGAAAAAGTTTATATAGAGGCGAGGCTCTAAACAATCAAATTATAGCCCACCTCAAAAATATCGCTAGAAGAGCTTGTTTTCATGCCCAAATATCCTCAAATTGATCATCTCGGTACTAAGATGCATGGACATGAGAAAAAAATGGATTTCAAGCGTTGGAAATAGTGCATCTTGTAACGCATTTTTGGACCGTCAATTTTTAAGATTTTTAAGTCTTCGTAGATATGCTCGATCTACATTATTTTTGAAGCTTTAAATTTTATACTTAAAGATGAAAATATATTTTAAGGCTATCACAAAGATTTCTAGTATTTAAATTACATTTCTCGATACTATTTGAAGATGCACTTTACTTTGATTGTTTGGAGCCTCGGCTGTATATAAACCGCACCCTAATATTTATTACCTTCAATAGAGGGAAATTTATCAAAAAGCACTCAAGAGATGAATTATTTGACATCTCATCTTTTCTTCTTATTTAATTTCAAAAATCACATCTAGTGCACATCATCATCATCATCACCTAAGTCATCTCAACTATTTGGGATTCGCTATACAAATCAAGTCCCACAATAAGCATTTAAATATTTTATTGTCATTAATTAATAAGAAAATTTATCAAAAAATTAACCAAGAGAAAGTATTTGATCTCTCCCCTATTTCTTTTGATTTAATGTCAAAAATCTTATCAATGGCAAGTAATTATGAATAGGAGTAGTTGACATTTAAGATGTATTTTAATAAAAGGGTAGAATGTTAAATAGTTAAAATGAGCTCTTTTATAATATTTATTATCTTCAATAGGGGAATTTATCGAAAAACACTTAAAAATGAATCATTTGACATCTCATATTTTTTCTTATGATTTAATTTTGAAAATCATATCTAGTGGATATCATTATCATCATCTAAGCCATCCCAACTATTTGGGGTTGGCTACACAAATAATGTTCCATCATTCCGTTCTATCAAGAGTCATCTATTTAATCAGACCAAAAATCACTATATCTATTCTCATACTTCCATCCATGTCTTTATGAGTTTTGCACTTGCCCTTTTGAAGTTTTCTACTTGAACCAAATTATCTTTACTAATAAGTGATGGATTAGGTCAACGTTGTCATTAAGTACACATAAGCATAAATTACAATAGTTGATATTTCATGTATGTTTTGATAAATGAATGATATTAAAGAGTAAATATCGTTGGTGTGGTTTGATAGATTTCAGTTTTTAATAAATTAAGTGTCTTCAAAATTTTAAGGCACGAACGCACCTAGGGCTGAAGTGTTGCGATAATATTAATGATTTTTAACATAATAAATATGTATCGACACGTGATACCATCTCAGGGCTAAAATGTCATATAACACTGGTGCCGAGTTTTATTTATTGCTCTTCTCAAAGGTTTTTCTTGAAGGCTGTTTGCCTTGATGATCAAATGTGAATCAGGTGGCCGAGGGTGTCCCCATCTTTTAAGTCGAGAATTTTTTTTCTATGCAAAAAAAATAATACCCCTCAACTATACGATTTCATATCTCATATGGGTAATTGTGATCTTTTTGCACCCAAAATAAATTATCTCCTAATATATAATTCGAAAAGCTAGCCCGTTCTTGCCGCCTCATTGCTAAAAACTTTTGTTTGCATGCATCTAGACCAATGTTGTCAGACTCGCTTTGCTTCAGACGAAGAGGTCGAAGTCTTTGGATTTTCGGCTTAGACCGAAGCAAAGCGCAGCTCCACTGCAACCAATGTTGTCAGACTCGCTTTGCTTCAGACGAAGAGGTCGAAGTCTTTGGATTTTCGGCTTAAACTGAAGCAAAGCGCAGCTCCACTGCAACCAATGTTGTCAGACTCGCTTTGCTTCAGACGAAGAGGTCGAAGTCTTTGGATTTTCGACTTAGACCGAAGCAAAGCGCAGCTCCACTGCATCAGCTTCGGCCTGCTTTGGCCAACTTCGGTCAAAATCGGCTTCTCCAGCCAAAGGTTCGGCCGAAGCACAAAACTGTCTTTTTATCTTTGACTTCCACTTCGGTGGGATTCGGCCTCTTTGTGCCCGCCCTTGAGCTGAAGCTTCAGTCCAAAGCATATAATTGTACTTTTTATTGAATTTTTATTTTTATATTTTTTATTATTTTAATATTTTTTGTGTATAAATATTACTTATTATTATTTTTTTTAATTCAAAGCCTTCCTCCAAATCGGCCGAACCGAAGCACCGAATTGTTTTCGTTTTTATTTTATTTTACCAAACCCAAAGAAGAATCGGAAACGAATCTGATCTATTTGTGCCCAAACCCCCTTATTTTCTCACTCGTACTCGTGGCTTTGTTTGTTACTCATGTTTCATGCGACTGTTCCATCCAAGCCCCCGTTCCCGATCCACTTTGCAACAGTGCAAGTCTCAATGTTCAAAGACCGAGTGCTAGAACGCACGGCGCCCCAAGCTCTTTAATAACTGCCTCTCTTTATTCTGTGCGCTCTCAGGGTCATGGCCCCAAATCAAAGAGCAACAACCTTTATTTCATTCCAAGAGGCGCCTAGCAACACTAAGGCGCATGGTGCACCTAAGCGCCAGGCGTTGCTTGTGAGGCACACACGGTGCCCCTCACTGAGCGCACTTCCAGCATGAGGCCACCACGATGGGCCGCGACTTCCATCCGAGCACGAGGCACCCCTTCTCGTCCACCACGGTGTATCCCTCGCCTGTCCAAGTGTCGGCCAGCCACCTCCGAGCCTGTCCCACGAGCCGGATTGGTGCGGACTGGAATCCTGCTCGGCTCATCCTGCGGCGCCACTGGTCTGCACGCTCGTGCCGCTCGACGCGATCTGCCCCCTCGCACGCGACAATGTTCTTGATTTCTTCGCCAAAGTGGTGTTGCTCAACCCGCATGCGCCCAGTGTCCCCTCGGGGGAGGCTGGCGTCGAGGGCGTCAAAGATTGAGGAGTAGTAGTGGAGGGCCTCAGTGAAACGGCCGAGGAAGAAGGGGCCGTTGTGGCCGGAATCTTGCTCGACGACCGTGAGTACGCGGGGTGCAAGGCGGTGCACCCCACGGAGCGCAGAGTGGAGGGCTCCACGGCTCTCCTTCACAGCACGGTGCAGTTCGAGCACGCAGCACACCGCAAGTGCCTCACCGGGCTCAGGGGCGAGGTCCTCTGGTTTTAGGCTTTCGAGGGTGGTCTCCACAGCAGCAAATTGGAGATCAATCCCTGGTGATGCAGATGAAAAGTTGATGTTAAAAAGGCAGCAAAAATAAAGGGTGATAATACACTACATGAATTAAGTCAAGAAAGACTAGGTTAGGGATTGTCTACCCTGGTACATTTATTTTTTTATATAAAGAAACCATAATCATTCTTGTATTTTTTATGTTTAAATAGGTGATTGTCAGAGTTTCATTTAATAAACATAAAACTTCAAACTTTTTTTTTTTGTTTTTTTGAGAGACTTTGTGATTTACCCGAAGCTATCTAATTTGATTAGTGAGAATGATCGTGACTTTCATTATATATGATCTCCTTGCATACAATCCATGATTTTAAACCTTTAACAATATCAATCTTTTCAACTATTGTTAAATTTGCTTTGATTTAGCTGTAGAATAGAAGCACTTTTGGTGGTCTGGGCAATTTTAAGAAGGTCATTTTAAAGATTAAAAGAAACAAAATAGAAAATTGTATATAAAATCAAAAGGTTTTGGGCAAAGCATGCCGATTCGGCCGAATAGGCTCAAATGAAGAGATGGATTAGGACTAGCATCAGATGAACCAAAGCAAAGCGACTCTAGCAACATTGTTTCTAGACTCTTTATTCAATCTAATCTAATCCCACGAAGAAATCAAAATTAGAGTTTGAATAACCCAAAATAGTAAAAAATAATAATAGAAAAGCATATACTATGATACATGCATCATACGAACAAAACGTTATATGTCAATCTCTGGAGTTCCCATCGATGAAAACAGATGATTGAGACGAACTGTTCCTCCACTAGATTCCTTCATTCTCCATTAAAATGGAGAAAACAATTCATCTCAACCATCCAATCTCGTCAATGCACAGTGCAGGCTGCATTAAGATACGATCTACATGTAGCATGGTATACTTAACCAGAACAAAATGATTAAAACAACCCTGGATCACCTAGGCTCTGCGCAAAGGCGCAAAGCTCTGCACCAATGGCATTCAATGGTGCTGCGCGTGGTCCCACCGCGGTGAGTCGCATGCAGCGCGGCAGGCCCCCGGGTCGCGCCGCAAGGGCTCGCAAAAGCGAGCGCCACTGCGGCGCATGCGGTAGGCAGGCAGTCATGCCAAGGTCCACGACGTGGACAGAGTTTTCTCCCTCAAAGGCTTCCAGTACGGCAGCATTCGCGACGAAGTGTCCAAACTTGATGAACGGGCACGCCTCGTACGCAAGCCTCAGCGCCTCGCTCCGCTCCTCCATGCTTGGCTGGCCTAGCATCAGCGGCCCTGGTGCAGAAGCAAGTGTTGCCAAACGAGCAGAGAGCCCAGCCGCAAAGCAGGCAGCCACACGCTGGAACGGGGCGCCAAAGGGCGAGGCCTCAGCATGGAGTTCGAATAAGAGTGTTCGAGCTTGTTTTTGATCCCGACAAGCCACAGCCTCGGCACACGCCATGAGAAGTTGTACGAGGCGAACGCCGCCTCCGCCAGTGTCCTCGGCCTCTGGGGCTCCTCCACTACTGTCTTGGATGAGGAGGGACTCAGCTTCGGCAAATTGCTCTTTGTATGTCAACACGTGGTCACGGAAGCCGAGTTGATCGGCCCTTGGCCTCTTCCTGCCAGAAAACCAGTTTCCCTTGCCGGAAAATGGACTTTCTGCATCAGAAAACAGTCGCTTGTTCAGTCGGTTTTCCTGGCTTTCGTCCCCGAAAAATTGACCTCCCTTGCTAGTGAATGGGCTTTCATCGCCGGGGAATGTGATCGACAACTTGCTTTCGTCACCGGCGAATTGGTTTTCTTTGTTACCGGGGACCAGGCTCTCTTTCCCAAGGGCAAAGGGGTTTTCGAGACCGGAAAAGGGGTCTTCCTTCTTGCCGGAAAATTGGAATTCCAGACCGGACAATGGGCCTTGTTTGTCTTCATGGCCGGAAAGTGGGGTGTGGGGAAATGGGTGGAAGGGCCAAGTGAGGCCAAGGAGAATGAGGTTGGGGACTGAGAGGTGCTCCACTCGGTCACATGGTTGAAAACAGAGGCTGGGCGCCATGGTTTGAGCTGAAAGTGAAGTGTTTGATGGTTGCCCGACCTTTGGAGAGGTGGGGGGGAAGGGTGTTAAATAAGGGAATGCATTGTGAGGGCGTTATCAACAAGGCAGGCTCTCTCTCTCTCATTGCAACAAACATGGATTTCAATCAACCGGCCCAATCCTATGCTTTGGCAACAATCCTATTGTCTTTTGGGAACCTCACTCTCTCTCTCTCTCTCTCTACGACCTACCTCTCTCTCTCTCTACGTACCCTTCCTCTCTCTCCTCCCCTCCGCTCTCTCTCTCTATAGGAACCCCTCTCTCTCTCTAGGAACCCCTCTCTCTCTAGAGAGAACCCCTCTCTCTCTCCTCCCCCTTCTCTCTCTTATCTTGAATGACATCTCTCTCTCTCTCTCGGTGGGCATCTAATTTAATACATAGCATTGTACGAGGTAGCATAGTTCCTTTTGCATCGCAGATTTGTGTTTGATTAAATTGGCGACTTCCACGTTGCCAATGAGTCAGGTCTCTCTATTCATTCAATTAACAATCCCCTCTTCTCCCTCTCTCTCTGTACTATACTCCCGTAGGAGCATACTGTGCTTCTATCCCCTCCAGTTAAAAGACCTATTTAGTTAGGCTTCTCTAATCTCAAATTTTTGGATAAGACGAATATTCAAGCCACCGAAATTGAATTTTAAGTTTTTTGATACTTAGATCTCACCCTTAAAAAATTGGACCATCTCTGTTCAATTTTGAGACATTAATATTTCTAATACATAGAGAGTTTAACTTTTTCTAAAAAATATTAAGTACTAAGGTCTATGGGCTCTTAAAAACTACTCATGTGTAGGTTTTAACTGAGGGAGTAATGGACGATATATACTCCCGTGGGAGTATTACATCTTTTGGGAAATTATTAATCCGACCTTTGGTATGTCACTCTCTAAATACAAGAAGTTGGAAGTTACTTAAAAGAGAGAAGAATGAAAGAAATGCCTGTCGGGGGAAAAAGACAAGGGGAATCATATGAAATTTGCATTGACAAATTTATCATTTCCTGTGAACAAATCATATGAAGGTGACTAAGGCACAAAGCTCCTTGGCTGTTTATAGTTGTACTTTGTTACAAACATCACCACAAGGAATGGGTGGCCTCCTTTTAAACGAAGGATTGTATATGAACATTTACATTTTATATAAGGAAACCGCAATTTCTTATAACCATCCGTTTGAAATTTGATAGGTTGGGTGTGTCACGAAGTTTTAAAAATTTATTTTTAAAGTTTGAAGATTGATTATTAGAATAAATATAACCATTTAATTTCACATCCAATGATCCACATTAATTATGACCACTTTTTACCAAAAATAAATAGTCTCATTATATATTTTTCCTTACAAAGAAAAGTTATGTTAACGTTGAAAGGTACCAATACCCATAAGAGAAAAGTAGTAATAAAGGGAATGGGGTTGGGCCATCTGTGGTCAGAAGGGCAAATGCCTAGGGTTGGGGCATCAGTGGTTAGAGGGGCAGATGCCTCAGCATAACGGCCCACCCTCCATTTCCACCGTTAACATATTAAAAAAGAAAAAATAAATAAATAAAAGTGACAGAAAAGTGAAGGAATCTACGTATGAGAAGGATAAATAGGAAAGGTTCCATGCGACAAAAAATTGTAGCATGATTCGATGAAGGAAAATGGTTTGATAGGGCTACAATGCTATCAAAATAATTAAAGGTTCACTCCACAACTCATCGAAAATTGCAATTGGATCATCTTGGCCATTATGGTTATAAAAAAAACTTAAGATTTCAAGCTCTAAAAAAAAATTTATTTTAACAAATTGTCTAGATCGTCGGTCAAAGATCTGCAAGGTCTGTACGAGTTTTTGAGTTTCAAATTTTATTGTCAGTGTTGAAAATTGATTTTAGAGCCATCATAGAATTTCTGTTGCTGAAAGTACTTTCTAGATGAGGATTTGAGGTGAGGCTTTATTAGATTTCATCAAGCTCAAGCATTGTAGAAACTTCATCCTCTGACGAATGTGATAAGATGGGCATTATAGAAACTTCATCCTCCGATGAATGTGATAAGATGGGAGTAAATACGAAGCGGATGTTCCATGGATGCTCAAGCTGTTATGGAGGGAAATTTAGTGACCAGCGCAGGGGTTATGAAATAAGTCAATGTAAATAGATGAATATAACGAGTGAATGAGTTCCATTTTTAAGTATGGATAGGAGTATGTAATTGCAAATCTTTGTAACTAAGAATTGTTTGTTCAGTGAAGCGCTATATTGTATAATTCTATACAATATAAGACCATCCGTTTTTTATATAAGAAGGGCACAATCACTCATGAGATCAGTAGTTACAACATTCGAGAAATTTTATTTAGAATTGTTAATGACACATCTCCGACAATCCAATTTAACATCTAAAGCCAATAATGATTCTGACCTCTTTTATTAAAAGCAAAGTCCATTATATACATTTTCATATTTATATAGCCAATACTCTATGCAAATTATCATATAAATTTGTTAATAAGAATTAACATGTTACCATGGTGAGAGAGTGAGACCTATTACAACCTAATGGCAGTTCTTCAAACTATTTTTTAAGTAATATTTTATTGATCGTTTTTCATCTTCCACCGTGCCATTTCCAAAGCGTAGTGATATGGAGCCTTCCTCTTTTCTTTGTTGCCTGGAGACTTAGGGCTTGATATCACTGAGCCTGAGGGTTTAAGAGTTCTCACAGAAAGCTTGCTTCAAGGTCTTGTCCAAATGGGAGGGCCTCAATTATAGGAGTTTAAAAGGGCCTCAAATATAGGAGTGTAAAAAGGCCTCACCCAACAAAGTCTAAAGTTTGACCCGGACCCAAACCACTGCATCAAAAATTTAGACCCTATCGTGAATCAGGATCAATTCAACCCTACGGTCATCGGTTTGATGCAACCCGGTACCAACCCCACCACCATTGTCCCACGTTACTCTGATGGGAGCCTCTCACCATCCCCCCACTCCCTCTACGTTATGGCTCCAGAGTTAGCTGCAATTAGAGAAGTGGTCTGCAAAAAGAAGTTTTTTAAGGCAATGGACTCCAACTGCTATAACTTGTACACCATTCATGTACATCATCAAAAAGTCATGCATTAAAAATAGATCAATAACAAACATTGTCCCACGTTACTCTGATGGGAGCCTCTCACCATCCCCCCACTCCCTCTACGTTATGGCTCCAGAGTTAGCTGCAATTAGAGAAGTGGTCTGCAAAAAGAAGTTTTTTAAGGCAATGGACTCCAACTGCTATAACTTGTACACCATTCATGTACATCATCAAAAAGTCATGCATTAAAAATAGATCAATAACAAACAATTGCTCATCAAAAGGACAAAACAATCAATAAGGCAAGAACATGTTATTGTGAACATAAGTGTGCATTATCAAAAACCACATGAGACATCTCTATAGCCCTTTCAAAAATCATAACAAAAATGACTGCACAAGTCAGAAATCCTAATCCTAGTTTTCCCGAAACCTAACCCATAACAACCAACAAAAGTTTCAGAGGGCTTTTTGTTGATGCGAAACAAAACAACAACAACAAAGAGCATGCCCCTTAACTTCACCACCTCAAAACCGAGACTTCTTCCTAGACTTTGAACCAGCGACTGGGGCCTTGTTGCTAGTCGAGGCTTCAGCATTTCCACTTTGATGAGACCCACTCTGACTCCCACCTCCCTTTGCCGGTCCCTCTCTCACAACCGACCCTTGGGACCCTCTCACTTGAGCTGCCCTCTTATCCTTCCTTTTTGGCCTATAACTCGATCTCTCTCTCTTTGGAAGCCACCTCTCAGGGTCCGGCATAGGACCAGGGTTTGCAGGATCAAACCCTTTCGGGTACCTTGGCTTTCTCTTTCTCTTCCTCCTTTTCGCCCTTGCCTTTGCTTTCTCCTCTTCTTCTATAGATAAAGAAGCAACCTCTATAGGCTTCCCCATAACCCCAGCACCAGAGCTCTTTTCAAGGCTGTCAACGTCAACACTCGACAAAGCCCTTAGCTTATGCTCAAAAGACTCTGCCATCTCTATTTGACCTGCACGAGCAGCCGCAATGACTGCACCAACCAAGGCTTCAACCCCACCAAACCTCCTCACTGCCTCGTCATAGAGCTTAGCGGCCTCGACAAAAAGACCATGCTTGAGCTTGAAGGAAGCGGCTGCATAGACGATGAGCTCGAGCTTGGGCACATCGGCTTTGGAATTGGACCATTGGCGAAGAGCAGCGTCGAGCAAGGCATACGCCTTGTCTAGGGCACCGGCACGCTCAAGGAGGGCCACGCAAGTGGCCACAGCGGCGGGGAGGTGTTGGATTTCAGGGATGCGAGAGAGGGAGTTGGCAGCCACAAGGGGGTGGTTGGAGGCGGCTGCGAGTTGGGCTAGGGCAAGGAGGGCAGGCTTTGCCTTGTCAGGGAAACGATTGGCAAATTGTTCAAGGGTTTCCTCGGCTTTGGTGGCTTTGTTCTCTCGGGCTAACAGAGAGGCTTTGAGAAGGGCAGAAATTAGGGTGTCACAGAACATCTCGGAGATTGCAGCCTCCAGTTCTCGAGCCTGCAACATCGAGTGAGAAGGGGTATAGAGACATAGATGGCAATAGAAGCATTAACCCGTTTTGTTTAATGGAAGGATCCTTCTATTCTTCTATCTAGTCAACAGAAGAATTAACCCCTTGTTTTGAAAAATTTTCCTCCATAGTAGGATCTCTCTTTTAATCATAGTAGGAAATTAAAGCAAGAAAAATATATCATAGAAAAGCTATAGTCAAAAGTGTTACTGTCATCCAATCAATTGTTGGATGGTGATGGAGAGAGTGGGGGCACACTACGATGTGACATGACCCATGTGGTATGTCCCACTCTCTCCATCACTGTCCATCAATATTGCATGACAATATAGCTCGCGGTCATATCATATGGATCATATTATACTCTCACATTAAAGAAACAACCTTAAGAAGAAATTAGGAAGCAGGAAAGATCCCCAGTCATAATTGGAAAGACATGGGGGTAGCACATCCAGCATATTAATAAGTCATTAGACACGTTTCAGTTTTCAGCCAATGGCCTGAACCGAAATTTATTGAAATTACAAGTAATCGCAATAAAACAGAACAACATTGGACTACATTTGTCGTGTTATTTTCTTTTTCTTGAACAAAACCATATTCCAACAGTTAAAACCCAATTTTCATAAGATGCAGCAAAACCAACAGATTTTTTGAGGGTTTAGATAAATATTTTTTGCCATTTTCCCTGTTTCTTTTTAAAACCTTGTTTGTAGTTTTCCATTGAAAAACAAGCAACAAACCTGATCCAACTTGTTGGCTTGGAGGACTAGAAGTAAGCGGTTAGCATAAATCGCTTCTTTTTGCCTAGAGGACAGCTTGAGCTCTAGACCTTGAGCGAGTTGAAAGCGCTGTGAACCTGCACCTTTCTCTATGAACCTGTCCAGTTTCTTCAACCCATCTGAAACATCCTTTGCTCCCTTCAAGGCAATAAGGTTGTTCGTCGCAATTGCTAAAGAGGAAGCATCTGATAGATTGTGATTCAGGATATCTGTGTAAGCCTCCAAAGCTTCTTGGGGTTGTCCCATTAACTGAATAAATAACCAATCTACTATTAGAAAAATATACAGCCAAACTAAACAATGTGCTTCTTGTTAACTCTATAGGCATAACTTTTTTTCTTTTAGTACGTTAAGTGGTATGTAAAATCACCTGTTGGACATATGCAAGCTGGACAGCTATCGGAGCAAGCTCATTCTCAATTTCCTCCTCAGCAAAATCGTCCTCCATCAGCATTTCCTGACCCATCCTGTGAAGACCATAGCATGCTGTTGTACTAAGTATTTATGTTTCCCATGCACTGTTAAATTGCAAGTTGATTGAAACAAACTGTGCCTCACAGAAAAAAGCCATTATCAAATAATTTTAATAGAAAAAAGTAAATTACATACACTCTTTTAAAAATAACGGAAGCTCGTTCACGCATGCACATGCTCCCTCATTTTTTGTATGTCTGTGTGTATGTATATCTTGTCTATATATATATATATATATAGATAGATAGATAGACACAAACACACACACATCTTTGCAAACATACTTGTTAGTCCTAAGCTGAATACCCAAATGTAATTTAGATCCACTCTAATGGAAGACCTAAACAGCATCTGTACTATGTATTGTAGGTATTTAAATAAGGAAATGAAATGTCAACCATAATATGGGCAGTTTCTTAAACAAAAGCAATTCAATCAAATGTAAATTAGACACATTCTTCCTAGATATGAATGGCTCCACAAAAAACCTGTGGGCATGCAAACACACATTTCATTCATACACAACTAATGGCCGTTGATAGTTCCTTATCAATTTATTTAGCATACCGAAAAAGAAAATCAACCTCTAGCAAACACCCATAGTACCTTCGAGCAGCAAGCAACAGTTTCTCTGCATCGGAATATTTCATCTTTTCAATCAATGAACAAGCTGTATTATAAACCAGCTCAAAGCTGCGACTTGAAGTAACTTTTTGGGGATCCACTACACCTTGAACATCAGAAGCTCGACCAGCCGATATCAAAGCAGCGATAATATTAGTCTTCAAATCTAGTGAGTCAATCTTCAACTTTTGCAACTTCTCATAGCTATCTGCACAGGCATCTGTTTTGCCTAATCGATAAAGAACCTGTGCTTCCAGCTGCAGAACACTGGCATTTTTCTCAAGCCCTCTTAGTACCTCCAGAGCTTCGTTAAGCTTATTTTGTCGGTACAAGCAATATGCCTGGTAATGGACAGCAGAAAGTGAAACATGGATTTGACAATTTAAAATATTTTTCTTGGATGGGATATTTTCAAATACCATCTCTAAGATAGCAAGTGTATCAAAGCCAAAATGAGTAGAGAACCTATTTGCCAGCCCAAGAAAACCTGGATCTTGTGGTCTACAAAATTACACTTGTTCTATTTAACTCTTATCTACGCAGAAGCAACAATAATAGGCATGTGCAGGCATGTTATATTTGGGCAAATATAATGCATTAGAATTATCTTCATAACTCTGCTGAATTAAAATATAGCCGACAGCTGTGGCCGATTGAACTTCAAAATTAACCATGAAATAAAACAGTTGTACATTCGTTGGTTGGCAGTATTACGACATCTTTTTAAGAATTCAGTTATCCAGATCTGCAGAATTATTGTGAAACAGAAGCTTTGAAGGTCAATAGTTGCATTGGTTCAGTATAGCTTATCCTTTCAGCCACATCATACATAGACCCTATGCTACAAGGACAATGATACAATCTCCTTGTCTGGCTCAGATTCGAACAATCTTACTCACCCACCTATCCTTTTCCATGTCTGGTACGAAACGTTCATACAATATATATGTCTCGGTATATGGATTCAAATCGAAGTCAGATGCGTCCACGTGCATCGTACATGCTTACAAAATGGGCATGCATGTCTTACAACACGGACATACGTGTTGTAAAAATGGGCATGCATATCTTGTTTGTCCGATCCGTGGAGTCATCTCCACCGAGTAGAGACAACATGTTTGCGGACAAAGAATGAAATCTCTAAACAAACATGCCAACAAAGATTTCCCAACCCTCTATGTGTGTCTTGCATGTCAAGAGACATCTAGTGATCAGGAGTGATGGATTCGAACCAGTGTTTAAAAACTTGGTGACCCGATCCGAAATCGGGCGATCCGAATCAGGTATCGTCTAGCCCGTCTCGGTTCTGGATAAAAAACGGGATCTAGCCGGCTACAAACAATAAATCGCAGTGTGTTCAAGATTTTTGAATTTTTTGGTAAATCGTACACGGTTTTTAAGGCGTTTCCATGGGATAGAGTGCACAACTTGATGATGTCACCATCACTTTTTCCCAAACAACTGTACCAGCAATCGAATGCGTCACACCTTCACGAGTGAACACACCTATACCATGCATGATTAACGTTTTATGGGCTACTTTTCTTCCTAAAATCTCCGATGTGGGATTTCTTTTTATCTTTCTACTTTTCTTCCCTCTTCTTTGTTTCACTCCTTCTCCCTCCATTAGGTTATATCTAATGACACGAAATGTTATGGAAGCATTTTGCATGTTATGAAAGTGGACTGGAGAAAACACTAAGTAAAACGGTTTTGCCTAAATTTGACTAAATTTGCCTTTCCATTAGGTTATGTTATAACAAAGGAATGGCACCAAAACGTTCTACCTCAATGGCACAAAAATTTTCTACTTTAATGGCAAGAAAATTTTTCATATTCTATTAATATATCAACATTGTATAATAATAATCATAATCAACCTTTATTTTTTAGGCCATAGTAATAATAATATTCAACCTTAGTGGACGAGGAAAAAAATTTATTTTATTAATTTTTTATTTGGAAATTGACCAATTATGTTCTTGTAGGATCATATTGTATAGCATCTTTTTGAGGTAAAATTATAGTTTAGGAGTTTTTTTTTTTGATAACTGTTAACTTAAAATTATAAAAGAGAAACACAGTACATAGTACATAAAGTTCGATACTGTTGGCCTCTAAGCTTAGCCCAACCTGTATCGTGGTCCCTAAGGGGAAGACCAAGAGCAGTCCAGTCACAAGTTGAACTCTACATTAAAGTAGTTTACATGGAGGGGCTTATAGAACTGCCCGTATACAAAAGAAGACAAAAGGATGAAGGGCCTATAGTTGCCCTTGTACATAGTCTATCTAAACTAAGCATTCAGTGAAGAAGATTGACGTGCTGCTCCTTTAGCGAGTGCGTCTGCGGTTGCGTTTGCGGTCCTTCGGGTATGCTGCCACGTGACATCCAGGTTCCTACATAAGTGGTTAATCTCATTAAAAATGTGACTCAAATACCAAAGTGGGTCACTTTTCCAAGATCCCCAGGTTATGATATTCTTGGCGTCTCCTTTTATGAGCAGGATTCCACCCCACATAAGGTTAAAATGTTTGATTCCAGTTAGAAGGGCCAAAGCTTCTGCTGGTTGTGAGTCTTTTGTTCCTATGAACTCCGAGAACGATAGGAGGATAGTTCCTTCAAAGTTTCTAAACACTCCTCCAATGCCTGTAGGACTAGGGTTACCTAAAGAGCACCCATCAAAATTGAGTTTAATCTGACCTTCTAGGGGAGGGGTCCATCTGGGATTGATTTCACTTTTATGATGGGTGAGAAATAGAAGATTACTCCATTCTTGTAGAAAGGAAGATGCGGAAATTCCCATGAACAATTTATGGCGGGTTGCCCAAAAAATAACAGACTCTGTTATTTTATGGAAGAGAGTGAGGGTGGAGTCCTTTTCCCCTTGAAAAGTTCTAGAGTTTCTTTCCTTCCATAGGTGCCATCGAGTAGCTGCTAAAGATGCTTTCCACAGAATTTTACCTGATTTTCTCCATTTGTCCTCGAAAGATTGGGCTATCAAAGACGGAATAGAAGGTGGAATCACCCATGTCTAACTAAACAACTGGATGAGTTTGCTCCATACAGAAAAGGCAAACTTGCAGTGTAATAACAGGTGTGTAACATTTTCTTCCTCTTCTAAGCACATTACACATCCGTTGGGTATTTGAAAGCTCTTTTCTGGAGATTATCAATGGTTAGGGGTTTACCTAGAGTTGCAAGCCATTGGAAGAATTGGGCCCTTGGTGGAGCTATAGAGTCCCATGCTTTGCTTGAGATGCCAGAATTGTCATTCCCCTCTACTAGAACCTTATAAAAAGATTTAACAGAGAATCTTCCTGATGGGGAAGGAGTCCATATCATTGAGTCTTTCCCTGACTAAGCTAGGAAGACTCCATGCAATTCCAAGCTTAGAGAAGAGAAGGCAATAAGTTCGTCCTCAGATAGCTGCCTTCTAAACGACGGACTCCAAGTCCTTCTGCTACCTAAGTTGGTCATGACCTCCTCTATTGTGGATTCTTTGTAATTAGAAAGGATGTAAAGTGAGGCGAATCTGTCTTTGAGTGTTAAGGAGGCTAGCCACTTGTCCTCCCAGAACCTCACTCTACTTCCTCCTCTTGCATAGAATCTAATGTGCTCTCTAAAGCTTGGGAGGATGGACCTTAAAGATTTCCATATACCTGACCCTGAGGCAGGTGTGTTAATCTCTGGCAGCCACTTTGAAGAAGGAAGGTTGTATTTGCTTTTTATCACCTGAGCCCATAATTGGTTCTCGTGATAAGCTAGCCTCCACCACCATTTTCCCAGCAGTGCCAAGTTTTGTTTCCTTAAGTCTCTAATCCCCAAACCTCCCTTCGTTTTGTGGGTGCAAATCTTGTTCCAGGATAGAAGGTGTATTTTCTTGGTCTTTGCCGAACCATACCACAAAAAGTTTCTCATAAATGCATCGATCCCCTTAGCTATAGTAACTGGAATCTGATATAGCGACATGAAGAAGATGGGTGTATTTGCTAAAGAGGCTTTGATAAGTGTGCATCTGCCTGGCAAAGACAGGTAACGCCCTTTCCACCCAGCTAGCCTTCTATCTATTCTATCAACCACCTGGGCCCACATCTGTTTTTTGGGTCTACCAAGGCCTAGTGGGAGTCCCAGGTAAGTAGTGGGGAGGTCTTCTACCGCCCATTCCCACCCTGGGATAAAGCTTCTTGTTTGGGATGCATTTAGGCCAACTCCAATCATTTTTGACTTAGCCATATTGACCTTAAAACCAGTAGCTATTCAAAGCAAGATAGGAAAATTTTAAGGTTAAGGATCTCCCTCTCATTAGCATCAAGGAAAACCAGTGTGTCATCTGCGTATTGCAGGTGAGACACTATTGGGCATGCTCTACTTACTTTGAAACCAGATAGTAAGCTAGCCTGGTATAATCTGGAAATGGACTGACTGAAAACTTCTCCCATTATGGTGAATAGAAAGGGGGATAATGGGTCTCTTTGTCTAAGGCCCCTCGAGGCAGGGAAGAATCCCTTAGGGAACCATTGATGAGGACCGAGAAAAAGGGCCTAGAGTAGCACCCTTTCATCCATTTCCTCCATCTCTCTCCAAAACCCATCCTGTGTAAGGTTAGATCAAGGATTGACCAAACAACCTGATCGTAAGCTTTTTTCCAATCGATCTTCAAGATAAGGCCTGGTTTTTTCCTTTTTAATTTAAAATTTTAGAATCCATGCAAGCTTTTTCTTTTTGATTTAAAATTTTAGAATCCATTTAAGCAAGGTTTGAAAATTCGCCAATTATGTTGCTGTCAGGCATTTTTATTTTTTGAATTTTGATATCTATTTTTGCATTTTTTAGGGTAAAAATATTTTTTTGTTTTTTGTTTATAAATTATCACATTAAAATTTATTGGGGGGGGGGTGGGGGGGGGGGGGTTATTTTTGTTTTTAATCATATAATATGGAAGCGTTTTCTAATCATTTTTAAATCATATTTATTAGTAATATTATATTTGATAATTATACAGGAATAACCAAATCTTGTATTTTATTTATTATTTTATTTGCATTATAAATTATGTAATGTATTATTTTTTCTTATAGTTGAAAATAAGATTATTTAAATTAGATGATATTAAAAGACATTTTAGATTTGTTCTTATTTTTATACTAAAATAATTATCAAATATAAACCAATAATTTCAGTATAATATCATAGTTAGTTAGGTTGTAATAATTTTGGATGAGTAACGCGAATTAATAAATATTTGATACTTTCATGTGATACAAATTTTACTTTATATGGGAAATTGTTTTTTTAATCTTATGGAAGTGTTTTCTTATATTATAAAATTATTTTGATGCA